GACCTCTTTCAAGTGCTGAGGAACAAAGATGTCTCCTTGAGGACTAGAGTGCACCTGACACAAGCCATGGTATTTTCAATCGCCTCATATGCATGTGAGAGCTGGACAATGAATAAGGAAGATCGAAGAAGAATTGATGCTTCCGAGTTGTGGTGCTGGTGAAGAATGCTGAAAGTACCGTGGACTGCTAAAAGAACTAACAGATCTGTCCTGGAGAAAGTGCTGCCAAAATGCTCCTTGAAAGCGAGAATGGCCAGACTTTGTCTCACCTGCTTTGGTCACATTATCAGAAGAGACCATTCCCTGGAGAAGGATGTCATGCTTGGTAAAGTGGAGGGTCAACGAAAGAGAGGAAGGCCCTCAATGAGATAGATTGACAGAGTGGCTGCAGCAATGGGCTCAAGTATAGCGGGGCTTGTGGTGCTGGCACAGGACCGGGCAGTGTTTCATCCTGCTGTGCATAGGGTCGCTATGAGTCAGAGATGATTGACAACTTGACGGCACCTAACAACAACAACAACATCTCTCCACATCCTCACCAGCATTTGTTATTTTCTGTCTTGTTGAACTTTTTTATTAGTCCTGGGGCAAGATGGTTCTCATTGTTGTTTTGATTTGTATCTCTCTACTGGCTAATGCCGACTCGACAGCACATAACAACAACAACTGGCTAATGATCTTGAGCATTTCTTCATGTGTTTGTTGGCTGCCTGAATATTCTCTTTGGTCTATTCATATCTTCTGCTCATTTTTTAATTGGATTATTTGTCTTTTTGTTGTTGAGGTGTTGGGGTTTTCTATAAATTCTAGAGATAAGTCCCTTGTCAGATATGTCATTGCCAAATATATTTTTCCAATCTATAAGTTCTCTTTTGACTCTTTTGGAGAAGTCTTTGTTGTTGTTGTTGTTAAGTGCCATCGAGTCGTTTCTGACTCATAGCAACCCCATGCACAGCAGAACGAAACACTGCCCGATCCCGCGCCAGCCCCACAATCCCTGCTATACTTGAGCCCATCATTGCAGCCACCGTGTCAATCCATCTCTTTGAAGGCCTCCCCCTCTTTCATTGACCCTCCAACAATTGTCTTTGGAAGTACATAAATATTTAATTTTTAGAAGGTCCCATTCATCTAGTTTCTCTTCTGCTGCTTGTGCATTTTGGGTTATGCTTGATAGTCTATTTATGCCATATAATAAGGCCCCTAAATTTGCCCCTAGTTTTTCCTTGAGGAACTTGATAGTTTTACATTTCACATGTAAGTCTTTGATCCATCTGGAGTTTGTTTTTGTGTGTGGTGTGAGGTACAGATCTTGTTTCACTTTTCTGCAAATGGATCTCCAGTTTTGCCAGCACCATTTGTTAAACAGACATTCTCTTCCCCCATTTAATGGATTTTGGGCCTTTGTCAAAGATCAGCTGACCATAGGTCGATGGATCTATTAAAGGAAAAATACTTTTAAAAGGCAAAAAGCTTTATTCACAAAACTTGCTCAATATGTCTACCATTGTTCTCAGTACACAAATTCAGATGTAATAACCAATGAGCAAATACATAATGAGTAATGGCAGGAGGAAGAGTGCAATATCCTATTATATTGCATTTGCTACCGCAAATGTTCACCATGCTGAATTGTTTCTGCACATGCCAGCCCTTCCACATGAAGCCCAGAATCAAAGTTGTTTTCGCTTGTACTTAGTCAAACACATTATGACCCATAGAGATAGAAAAAATAGTGCCTACGCATTAGACTGCTAACCAGAAGGCTGGCGGTTCAAACCCACCAGCCACTCCTCAGAAGGAAGGTTGGGCAATCTACTTCCATAGTGACACTGCCTCAGAAACCCAAAGAGGGGTTGCTATGAGTCAGATCTGACTCAATGGCAGTGTGTTTGGTTTTTTGGTGTATGGTTTACTGAAATTTAAAAAAACAGGAGTTTTTCCTAAGACTCTGGATTCCAGAACAACCTGTATAAGAGTTGCTCACCCAATGTTGCTGGCTCATTTGCCTCACCTGCCAGCACAGGTTTGCTGCCCCCTATCCAAGGCCCGGGAGCTCCGGTGGCGTAGTGCCTAAGGCACTTGACTGCTAACCAGAAGGCTGGCGGTTCAAACCCACCAGCCACCCCTCGGAAGGAAGGTTGGGCAATCTACTTCCATAGAGATACCGCCTTGCAAACCCAAGGAGGAGTTGTTATGAGTCAGATCCAACTGGACAGCAATGGGTGGTGGTGGTATCCACGGCCCACTCTTCTTTCTGAATCCCCTGAGGCTGTCCTTAGTGTGTTCCATCCCATGATATCTGCTACTATTCCTCAGTTCCCTGACAAGCAAGGTAGTTCCAAGGGAGTGGCCACCCTGAGTCCTTAGCTGACAGGGTGGGGGAAAAAGAGGTCTTTGTGTTTCATACTCTCGGGTGCTGTGGGGGTAGAGCTCCCAAAACACTTTTGCTTAGGCCCCACCATCCTATGGTAGTGTTAGTGAAGCCAGTTCTTTCTGTTTTCACTCTCTCCCTCTAACCCCAGTAAGAGTCCAGGAACATGGCCAAGGGTGGTTTACACAGCAGGAGCAAACTGTCATCAGACCTCTGCTCCTCCTTCTCCCTCCAAGTCTGTTCTGACTCATTCTTTCCTCATTATATTCCACCCCTTCCTCTGATACCCTGGGGGTGTCTGCACCCCAGAAATGGCAGCATCCAGGCTGCTGAGGCACAGTTCCCCGTTACACACAGTTATCAATTATGCCACACCAAGGCCAGGCAGAAGGGCCTGATGTAGAAGCCTCTGGAGCCTGGACACAGCAAGACCCCTGATGAGTCACGCTAAGGAATGACCCTGGGAAAAAGGGAAGGGCTTCATTGTGAAAGATATCACTCAAGCTCTTAGGTTGATGCGCTTACAACTCTATATTACTGTCACCTGGAGTTTTGTCAAAAGGATGATTTAGTCAATGAATACAAATCCTTCCTGGAATCTTCTGGCTGCTCCTGGAGTCTGCCAAAACGAGCCTTAATCCTCATGGCCAGGAGAGTGAGGCTTGCTAAGGACACTTCTATTTATTCCATCCTCCTAGCATAGGTGAAGAAGCTCTGGTGGCGTAGTGCATATGGCATTTGACTGCTAACCAGAAGGTTGGCAGTTCAAACCCACCAGCCACTCATGGAAGGAAGACTGGACTATCTACTTCCATAAAGATTTACCGCCTTAGAAACCCCAAGGGGGTCGCTATGAGTCGGAATCGACTTGATGGCAGTGAGTTTGGGTTGTTTTTCAGTTTAGCATAGGTGTGCCTGCCATGGCTCTTCTGCCATGGCTGCCTGCTAGCTCATATGGCTGCTTTGTATAAGTAAGAGGCACCCACTCCACTCCTGGGCCCAGCTGGGACTGGAGAAACAGCGTCCACTATGCACATGCCCTCTGATTCCCCAGAGCAGACAGCTAACTATTGGAGAAAGGAAATAGCACATCAGAACCATAACAACCTACCTTTTCCTTATGGGGAAACCCGAGTGGGGAAGGAACTTGCCCAAAGTCACACCGCGCATCAGTGATAGCAAGACAGCTAGAGCCCAGGTTTCCTGCAGCCCAGCCATATTCCTTCCACTGATCTTCTCCAAGTGTAGTGAGCAGTGGCTTCGTGGCCCAATTGGAGGAGCCAGGGCTTCCTTTCCCAGGGAGAAGAGCAATCTCAGTGAATGACAAGGAGTCCCTTTTCTCTGATTCAGTGCTCTTATTGCATGTCTTCCCTAGCTTGGTGAAGACAGAGGATCTCATTTCTGGGTACCCATGAGGGGGTAGTGACAAAAGGTGAGGATATAAATGGAGATGTGGTTCAATGCCGCCTCCTCCTAGAAGCTGAGTTACAACTAAATAACAATTTCTGCAGTGCAGTCCCCATGCCCCACGCCCAACATACATAGGGACCTGCAGCTCTGGTCTGGCCAGAACAGTGGTTCTCAAACTGTATTGTGCACCAGCATCAGAAGCACAGATTGCCGGGCTCCACCCCAGAGTTTTCAATACTGTGCATCTGAGGTGAGGCCTGAGGATTTGCATTTCTAACAAGTTCCCAAGTAATGTTGATGCTGCTGGTCCAGGGACTACACTTTGATAAGGTCTGGCCTAGAAAATTCCACAATCATCCTTTTCCTCCCTCACCACCTTCCTCTCTGCTCCCTCTCTGTCCTTTTCTGCTTCTTTCTTCCTCCACTCTTTGGTCCTCTTCTTATCTTCCAAAGCATAATGGGATGCCTTGATTGGCCACCCACAAAATGTGAAGCCTGGGCAAGCTCCTTCCCCTCTCTGAAAAACTCACTGTCCATGAGTTGATTCAACTCATAGCGACCCCTCCTTGGGTCCGAGGCGATATCACTATGGAAGTAGATTGCCCAACCTTCCTTCCGAGGAGCGGCTGGTGAGTTTGAACTGCCAGCTTTCTGGTTAGCAGTCAAGTGCCTTAGGCACTACGCCAACCATGCCTAGACTGTGAGGCTTTTCCCACTGTGGCTCCTCCCCACCAGCGCCATATCTAATTGGGTTCATCTCATAGGGAAACTGGTGAATAGATAACTTTCCAGTTTCCCACTGATTAGAACTCTGGGATTCTGACCTCTTTCACCTCCCAAATATCTGAACCTATCCTCTCCAGCTGAACATATTTGAGGTCTTTGTTGGACATATTTGAGGTCTTTGTTGGGGCAGATTGTTGAGAGGGAGAGCCTCAGAACAGCTGTGTGAGGTCCGAGCGGAAAGAATCCTGAGGGAGAGGAGAATCGGGCCCTGGAAAGCAGGTAGCTAGCTGCCTCTTGGGGAGGGGACGGCTAGGTATGTGGGACGGCTAAGTGTGTCGAGTCCTCGCCGCTGTAGCCGACCCCATGCAGCCGAAGCTCCAGCAGGGGGCGCCGGAGCGGAGGCCAAGGCCAGTCTGGTCAGCTCAGGTGTCCAGTCTGGGGGGGTGGGGGCGCCCAGGGGCGTGGACACCACCCAGGCACGCCCAGGCCTCACTTAAGTAGCTGCCAGCCAGTGTGAGGGATAAAGGAGGGAGAACGTCCAGCTATTGCTGACCTACTTGGACCCGAACCCCCACCCGACCCGGCCCAGCCAGCCCAAGCCTGCGCCATGCGGGGCCCCAGCGCGGCTTTATGGTTTTTCCTGACTCTGCGCACCGGTGAGGAGCCCCTCCTGGCCGCGTGAGCGAGGCACTGGGGCGTGGACCCTGGAGCTCTCCAGCTCCCTGAGCCTGAATATCTGGGTAGGAAAGGAAAGGCGAGGGGTCTAGTGAGGACCGTGGTGGGAACTAAGACTGAGAAGGGCAGACCAGAATGTCAGGAGGAACGACCCGCGGGCGCGGTCGGGAGGGCTTCCTGGAGGCGGCGGCATTGAGCCAGATCTTGAGAAAGTGGCGTTTCTGACAGGCCAGGGTAAGACAGAAGCGTGCTACGGAGAGCTTTGGGATGCTCTGGACGCTTGGAGTGGCCCGTTGTGTAGACGTTCTTGGGGGCTGGAAGACTGAGAAGGGTGTGGGGGCGGGAGCGGCTCTACTGCCCTCCACCCCCCACCCCCCACCCCCAGCCCCTGCCCGGGAGAGAGGCTGGCAAGGTTCGTCCGGTCTACGGAAGAAGATTCTCAGAAAGATGGGGGCAAGGGTAAAGGAGTACGGGGGACTAGAATGCCGGCCGAGAAACCGCTCCAAGGCCCTCTGGTGTTGCAGGGGTGGGGTAGGGCGTAGACCGCCTACCCCACCGAGGGAGTCAGGGCCCCGGAAGGTGAGACCTGAGGCAGGACCCTGGGGAGCTGCTCTCACTGTTCCCGCGGATTGTGCTCTGCAATCACATTGCTCAGCTCAGGGGATGGGGCTTTTCACTGTACTGATGTCAGGTGGTGCGTTCTTCATCAATGTAAACTGAGCTCTGCAGTTGCCCTGCCTCCAGGGATCCTTTCTTTGTGGACTGGAGAAGGGACAGTTCCACTTCCCAGGTTGCTGCCTGGGGCTAGGGGAGGAGGAGGGTGGCAGGAAGGGAGGCTGTGGAGGACCCTGCACCTTACGGTGGGGAGCATGGACTGCCATGACCTCCCGCCGCGGATGGGTTCTGTGGGCAGGAGAAGTAGTCCCAAAGTGATGGCCTTAGGAAATCTGGTTCTCCTTTGCAATCGCTGGCTAGCGCAGCATGAGTGGTAGGTTACTCAGGTCTGCAAAGTCATTAACCCTGGTAATTGTGCACCCTTCTGCTGGGCCTCCATGCCAGAAGCTCTCTGGGACTCTGACCTGGGCAGATCACGGGACTCACAGGGGTCCCAACCAATAGAAAGGTAGAAGCAAAAATCCACTGAAGAACTGTGTATCTTAAACTCTACACAGAGTGCTTACAACACAGAAGGTGGGTTTCCTCATTCACCTTTCTCAGATAAGAAACAGGCTCAGAGAGGTCATGTAAGTTGCCTGAAGTCACCAGCTGGGGAAGTAAGAACTTGAACCTCAGAGCCTCCCCTCTCCACCTGCAGTCTTCACAGCAGCCTGGCACTGGGCCAGCATAATCACAGATGCTTCAAGAGGATGCAAAGTTCCTCCAACACAATGGCTCCGCATCTCAGTCTCACCGTCACAGTCCACAAGGAGGGCCCAGGACGATGCTGAGGGAACCTCATCCAGCAGGCAGGGGACCAGAAACTTGTCCAGTCACAAAGCCAGTCTGTTGAAGAGCCAGAAATATCCAGCCAGTGTTCCTTCCATCCCAGTTGGCAGAGGGCTGGAACTAGCTGTAAAGGCCTAGGTTCTAATCCACCCCATTTGACAAGGCCCTATGGCCCTACGCCCAGGTGTACCCACAATCCTACACACTGCTTGCCAAGAGCCCAGCCCTTCCCTATCTCTGTGATACCTCTCTGTGCCTCTGTTTTTGGTGGGAGAGCAGGTGGTATTGGCAAGGGCTGGTTATAAGTACTGATGGGGTCACACAGAGCTGCTGGAACACAATGGAACTCAGGCTTTACCTCCATGGCCACGGCCATAGGCTCAGGATGCTGGGAAGACCAGGAGCTGGGCCTCACTGTCTCCCACCCCCTGCCCCCAGTGCTCGGCCAGATGGAGGTACGGTGGTGCACCACCTCGGATCCTGAGCAGCAGAAATGCAACGACATGAGCAAGGCCTTCCAGGAAGCAGGCATCCGGCCCTCCCTCCTCTGCGTCCAGGGCATCTCGGCTGACCACTGTGTCCAGCTCATCACGGTGAGCCCATTCCCTTCCACCCAGCCTCCGCCACCACCACTGGCCCAGACAAAAAGGTTCTGACTCAGGAAGGAGCACACAACAGTGTGTCTCATTCACTGGGAAAGGCGCCCGCCATCCCCCTGCCAGGGCTGGCCGATAGGATCTCCTGAGTTCCCAGCAACAAGGGCCAGCTTGTTCTCGAAGGGGCCCAGGCCAGGCTGTGGGAGGCCTCGAGCAGGGCTGCTGCTCAGATGAGCGCCAGTGGGCAGAGGCAGGTTTTCCTACCACAAGGCCCCTGGTAGAGGGGGACGTGACCCACCCCATGGAGGCAGGGGTAGACAGCGGTAACCCTCTAGTGGCCCTTGGTGGTTATCCACTCTGCTGTGGGATTTTCCAGAATAGGACTTGTTCAGTTTCTGAGAAAGGTGGGACAGAGGTTAGAAGACCTGGGTGGGGGTGGAGAAGCAGATCTGAGTGACAGGAGATCAGCTAATGGGCACTCACAATCTTCAGAGGTGGGACTTCACTAGCAGGAAAAGGTATGGAGGGAAGTCCTAGGGTCAGGCACAAGGAGACCTGGCTTTTCATTTCAGCTTGACCCTGACTTGTTCCAAGACCTAATGAAGTTATAGTCTCACATGTGGCCAAGGCCTTGGGGGCAAGCTCCTCTGTATAGGCAGAGACCAATTGTACTGAACTACCCACCAGCCACTCCTCACAAGGAATGTTGGGCAATCTACTTCCATAGTGATACCACCTCAGAAACCCAAGGAGGAATCGCTATGAGTCAGACGCAACTCGACAGCAGTGAGTTTGGTTTTTGGTTTTAGCTATGTTCTTGCCATGAACCCCAGTGATAAAACACTGCCATTTGTGTTTAAAAACAAAAAGGAAGAACATGAAAGAGGACCTTATGGGATTCAGTATGCATAGACTATCTTAGAGCAAAAACCCAAGAAACCAGTTAGCCATGGTTGTTTCTAGAAACAGGGGGCTGAGAAACAGGACAGTGAGGGAGACTCACATTTCCATACATAGCATTTTGATTGATTGATATTTTTTTATTATGTGTATCTGTTACTAAACCAGTTGCCGTCATGTCATTTTCAACTCATGAAAACCCCATGTGTGTCCAAGTAGAACTTGCTCCGCAGGCTCTTCAATGGCTGATCTTCGGGCAGTAGGTCCCCAGGCCTTCCCTCTGAGGTGTCTCTGGGTAGACACCTCACCCCTTTCAGTTAGCCGCCAAATCTAGTCACCATTTATACCATCCTGTAAAATAAATCATTGTTGTTTTTTTAATAACATAATTAGAAAGGTGAGGTGAGTTGTTGGCCCAGGAGAGCTGTCACTTTGGGCAGAGTAAAGGGGAAGACTCCTGGGTCCTGAGGGGTGGGAGGAAGAGGGACCTTCCAGGCTCTGGGGAATCATGGATGAGAAAAGACAGGACTCCTTGGCCAGGTAAATAGTCCCTCTAGTCCTGGAAGAGTATAGATTTTCAAGGGGACTTAGGAAGACTGTTGGGTGTTCCTGAGTCCCTCATTGAATGGGCAAGCCTGGGCCAGGCAGGACTGACCTGTAGGTTTCCACCAGGCCCAGGAGGCTGATGCCATCACTCTGGATGGAGGAGCCATTTATGAGGCAGGAAAGGAGCATGGCCTGAAGCCAGTGGTGGGCGAAGTGTACGATCAAGGTAAGAGGGCTGTGGAGGGTGGGGGGAGATAGGAACCAGCCACTCACCCAGTCTGTCCTTCCTGGGCCAACTCCAGCTCCAGGACTAGTCAGCTCCCTTGTCCGTGGAGCTGTCCTGTAGTTCTCAAGCCAGATAAACCCTCTGAGGCTCTCCAAGTCTTTCACAAACATCCTCTGCCATTTCCACATGTCTAATCCCTACTGATCCCAGACACCAAAGACATAGAGCAAATACCCAAGTCTGTTCTTGGTGTGGGAAGCCCAGCAACCTCTAATTTTTGTCCATTGTACTTCTACTGAAGGGCTGTTCCATGCCCCATGCTGTAGTGTTGGACAGGGAATCAGATGCGTAATTGTCTGGAGTAAGTTACCAAGAATGCCCAGGTCAAGGCTCTGCCTGCTGTGGGTCCTGCAAACGTTAGTACCATAGCAAAGTGCCACATAGTAGGTGATTTTAAAGAACTGAAATGTACTTTCTCACAGTTCTGGAGGCTAGAAGTCTGAACTCAGGGCATTGACAGAGCTATGCTCTCTCCCTGCCGGTTCTAGGGGAAGATCCTTCCTTGTCTCTCCCAGCTTCTATGTTGTTGTTGTTATTGTTGTTGTTATGTGCCATCAAGTCAGACCTGACTCATAGCGACCCCTCCTTGGGTTTCCGAGACAGTATCACTACGGAAGTAGATTGCCCAACATTCCTTCCGAGGAATGGCTGGTAGGTTTGAACTGCCAGCCTTCTGGTTAGCAGTCAAATGCCTTAGGCACTACATAGCCCCTGGCATTTCTTGGCATCCCTTGGCTTGTAGAGGCATCCTCACAGTTTGTCTTCCTCCTGTGTGTGATTCTGTTTCTGTCACTGTCCCTCTCTTTTATAAGATGCCACTCAGAAGGAATTACCTCATTAACTGATAACATCTGGAAAGAAGAACCCTGTGTCCCCAAACAAGGTCACATTCATTGGTGTAGGGGTCAGGACGTCAACAAATCTTTTTGAGGGACACAATTCAATCCATAATATACCCATTGGTCGGAAGCAGCCTGGAGTGGGACTGGGCTGCAGGCAGAGATAGTGACCAGGAGCTGCAGAGCTCAGCAGACCAGGAACAAATCCTAGCTCTGTCCTTTCCTGGTTCTGTCACCTCAGACAACCTCTACTTAAAACCTCCACTGTAAGGTGGGGATGATGATACCTGCCCTGTTGTGTGGATCACATGAGCCAGTGTGTGTGGTGCACCCGGCACATGGTGGCACTCAGGAAACAGGAGTTCCTTTGCCCTGGCCCTGCCCTTCACATCAGACACGCCTACAGACCAAGCTGCTCCCCTGCCATTTCCACATGTCTAATCCCTACTCTTGTTGTCTGGAGCTCTGGTAGCATAGTGCCTAAGGCACTTGACTGCTAACCAGAAGGCTGGCGGTTCAAACCCACCAGCCACTCCTCAGAAGGAAGATGGGGCAATCGAAACCCAAGGAGGGGTCGCTATGAGTCGGGGGCGACTCGACGGCAAATAACAACAACAACAACAATCCCTACTCTGGGAGCATAGTGGCTAAGGCACTTGACTGCTAACCAGAAGGCTGGCGGTTCAAACCCACCAGCCACTCCTCAGAAGGAAGATGGGGCAATCTACTTCCGTAGTGATACTGCCTCGGAAACCCAAGGAGGGGTCACTATGAGTCAGGTCCGACTTGATGGCACATAGCAACAACAACAATCTCTACTGATCCTTTACCATGCAACTCAATTATCACCTCCCCTAAGGACTTTCCCTTCGTCCTCTCCATCCTTGCAAACACCCTTCGTGTTCCTAAAGCAGTACCCACTCCCACCTGCCTCTGTTTCCTTCTCTCTTGTTTCCTTTGCCCTTGAGGGCCTCATCTTTGTACTTTGTGGCTCCTTAGCATAGGGTCTTGCTTGGAGAAGGCATTGTCTGGTAACTTGTTGAATGAATGATTTTCAGATGATACTGGGTGACAGACTGGGATAGTAAAATCCTACAAACCAACCAGCCTTTCCACCCAAAGCCAGAAACAGCCCTACCTCATGGGTCTCAAACACAGATGTCCCTCCTTAATTAATTCAACACATTTACTACATACCAGTCAGGAGCATAAAGTAGTGAACCAAAGATGGTCCATTCCTGTCCTCAAAGAGTAGGAGTCAAGAGTATACAAATAAACACATAAAAATCAAGTTACAAATGTGATGAGTGCTATGAAGCAAATGAATTAAGGGGCTCTGAGGGAGAAAATAACAGGGGGTAGGAAGACCTACAGAAACAGAGCTCACAGAAGGGCTTCTCTGAGGGGGTAACATTTCAGTGGAGGATCAAGTCATGCAGAAAACAGGAGACAGGATTGCAAGGATAAAGGCCTCCAGGAGAGAAAGAGGTGGTGTTTTCAAGGAATCCTGTGGGTAAATCATGGAACTCTGGAGGTGCAGTGATTAAGGCATTTGGCTGCTAACCAGAAGGTCAGCGGTTCGAATCCACCAGCCACTCCATGGAAGAAAGATGAGGCAGTCTGCTTCTGTAAAGATTTACATCCTTGGAAACCCAATGGGGATCCCTGTGAGTCAGAATCAATTCCATGGCAATGAGTTTGGTTTGGTTTGGTAGATGAGTCAGAAGGTGATACAGGCAAATCTGCCTGGGTTGGCAGCGGCCAGACTTAGGTGTGCAAGAAATAGCAGTGACTCACTGTTCCAGAACTCAAATTCATTCCCATCATGGGCATCCTGCTCGGCAGGGCAGCAGTACCAAGCAGTGTGTGGGATGTGTGTGTGTGTGTGTGTGTGTGTGTGTGTGTGACAGGGAGGACACTCTGATCTTCAGTCCTCATAGATGAGTCATCTGTGTCTTGTCTGTGTCTTCTCTGTGTCTTGTCGATATGGTCCTTTCTGGACCACACTTGGCCCAGAGCAGTCTTTCTCAATCTGTAGACCCTTGCCCACTCACATGTACCCTGCAACTATTCAGGTTCTTGAGTGATCTGGGACCACAGAGTTCTCTCTCCTCTCGCCACCACCAGCCCCAGGAATTCCATTTTTCTAATCTGAAGGAAGTCCCTGCCCTGCTTCCTTCTGCTCCTTCCAACCACTCATCTTCCCAAAAATCACAGTATCATTCCCTCAAGCCTTCTAAGTTTTCCTAAGGGCCTAGGCTTTCGGAAAGCAAAAGACTTTCAGCCACTGAAAGCCCTATAGCTCTGGTGGTGCTGTGGTTAAAGCATTGGGTTGTTAACCAAAAGGTAGTAGACTTTCAGGCTACTCCTGCTTTCCCTCCCGATACAGAGCTCTCCTGAGGTGCACATATTTACACCCAGCTAAGGCATTTGACTGCTAACCAAAATGTCAGTGGCTTGAACCCACCAGCCACTCTGTGTAAGAAAGATAGGACAGTCTGCTTCCCATAAAGATTTACATCCTTGGAAACTGAATGGGGGTCGCTATGAGTCAGAATAGACTTGATGGCAGTGAGTTTGGTTTGGTTTTGGTAAATGCCAGCTAGGAGCCCTGGTGGCACAGTTTGGTTTCTAACCTAAAGGTCCACAGTTTAAACTCACTAGCCACTGCTCTGGAGAAAGTCTGCTTCCTTAAAGACTATAGGCTTGGAAACCTTATGAGGAAGTTCTACTCTGTCACTATGAGTCACAATTGACTCGGCAATGTGTCTGGTGGGTTTATTTATTTAAAAGTGCTGGCTGGCTTGGGAAGGGAAGAAAGAACATTACTTAATGAATTAATGTCTCAAGATATTATCTACCACTTGAGGCTGGAGGTTGTCAGGACCTTATGATTGCACCCTCTTGCTCTCTCAGTACCTAGAATGTCATGCGCATGTACTCTTGTACACTGTGCACATATGTGCACACACATGTGCACACACACAACACACGCACACTCTTCTCCCACAGCCTGTCCCAGACTGAGTTGCAGCCTTCCTCACAGCTTCTCCCTCACTACCTTTCACTCATCTCTTCTCCTTCCAGAGGTTGGTACCTCCTATTATGCTGTGGCTGTGGTCAAGAGAAGCTCCCCCGTGACCATTAACACCCTGAAAGGCGTGAAGTCCTGCCACACAGGCATCAACCGGACAGTGGGCTGGAATGTGCCGGTGGGCTACCTGGTGGAGAGTGGCCGCCTTTCAGTGATGGGCTGTGATGTGCTCAAAGGTGAGGCCCTGGCCCAGCAGGGGATCCTCTCCCAAGGCAGGCTGGTGCTCCTCTAGAAGCTCTGGTTTTCCCCTTTCTTCCCCCTCTGGCCTTGGCTTCACCTTGCACCAACTTGAGAGTACGGCAAAAGACCAGCCTTCCCTGGGATCCTCCCTGGCACAGTTGGTAGTATCCCTCCCTCCTCTCTTTGCACCTGGTCTGCTTGTGTTGCCACCATTTGAGTTTCTGGTTGGTTGGCCTCCACACACAACTCTACCTCACCCATCACATGTCCCACAGGATGCAGCCAGGCACAGGGCCACCCACGGTGTGGAGACAGTGAACTGGCAAGGAAGGGCTCTCACCTGGTGTAGACTTGGTGTAGCTCACTATTTCCAGAAATTTATTCTCAGCTCTACAGGATCAGAAATTACTTTTGAGGACCCAACCAAGCTGCTGACAAGTGGCCAATGAGAGACTAGACTGTGGCCTGATAAGTTCATTTGCAGACAGAATGCCGAGGTAGCACATGCTACCTGGGGAGTGGGGTGATTGTGATCAGGGGGTGGCTGAGAATGAAACAGCCATGGTAGTGGGAGTGAGGTGAGGCCCTGAGGAAGCCCAGTTAGGGGCTCAGAGCCCCCGTTCTGGAGGCCAGGCACTCACAACCCTGCCTGTCACCTATGGGTGTCTTGTCCTGGCTCCCTGCCAACCACCCAGTTTGTGCCAGTCTCTCTCCATAGAAGCATGATATGGCAATGGGGCTGCTCCTGACACGTGGCAACCACATTCTCATCCTGCCCTCCTGGGATGCCCCCTTAAGTCTGGGTATCCCCAAATCCCTTGTCCAAGTACATGTTATGCCTGTTTGCTCCACAGGTTCCAGGGGTGAGGTGTGGGGGGCAGGAAGAGAAAACAAAGGTCTCTTAGGGCTCAGGCTTTGCTGTCACACAGACATGGACTTAAACCCTGGCTCAGGCGGGACCTGCCCCTACATCATGCTGCCTCATTGACTATACCTCATTGAACTTCAGTTTCGTCATCTGTACAATGGGAAAATGAGCACTGGTTTTACAGTGCCGTGAGGGTATGAGGATTGAGATAATCTACACCAAGTCTCAGCACAGTGCACAGCATGGGATATGTGCTCAGCATAGGGAGGCTGCTGTACGAATTCAACCTCCATACCTCCTTGTTCTCAGTGGACATCTTGCCGCTGTGCATGCACTTGGATGCACGCACACACACATACACAAACACACATGTATACATCAACACATGCCCACACACATACATAAGCACACACGTACACATGAGCACACAGGTATGTGTACATATATACACATACACGAACACATGAGTGTGCACACACACATGCATGTACTGCCCTGACAAGAAGGGATCTGGTTTCAGAGGCACTAAACTCAACCAGGCATGTAAACCAGCACAAGCCAGGAGACCCTGGAAGCCACATCCTCTCACCTGGGTGTAGTGGTTCTTCAGTCACTTGGTATATTTATTAAATATTCACCCCCCTGGGAGGATACTACAAGACCAAGAAAGGAAGCTCACTGGGCAAGAAGTGAAGCAAGACTGGCTTCGGGGCAGAGCCTGTGTCTTGCTCGTCACCCGCAGGCCTAGGGCGTCCTCAGCACAGGGCAGGCATTTGCCAAGAGAGTAGATACTGAAACCATTGTAGTCAGCACATCCCGATCTCTTCACCACCAAGGTCTCCTGCTACTCCATCTTCCTCCCCACCGGGTTTCATCTATCAAATTAATTATGTTCATTGAGTCATCATTTCTTTCCCCACTTTTATTAACTACACATAACTGACTTTGAAATGAAACCCACAAGGAGAACGATATTTAGCTGATATTGAATTGCCCCATGTGGCCATTTATGGGTTAATGTTTTATTGCCCTGAGACAGTTTTATGGACTAATAATCATTCCCAGATACTCCCACCCCCACCCCCCACTGTTGCTGGCCTGGACCCAGCCTGAAGCTAGAAGGTGAGAAGATTCTCAGAAAAGTCCCTAAGAGGCCTCTGCAGAGCCCAGTGGCATCAGCCTGAGCCCTCACTGTCAACACTGGGCGATGGGTGGGGGTCTGACAGTCCTCTCTCTGCCTCCTTCCTACAGCCGTCAGTGACTATTTTGGCGGCAGCTGCGTCCCTGGGGCAGGAGAGACCAGTTACTCGGAGTCCCTCTGCCGTCTGTGCCGGGGTGACACTGCTGGGGAGGGCGTGTGTGACAAGAGCCCCCTGGAGCGATACTACGACTACAGCGGGGCCTTCCGGTGAGAGAACTGGGGAGGAGGCCCCTGGGGTGGGAGGCTGAGTCAGGGGAGAGGCGCTGAGGCCAACACAACCAGGAAAAAACACCTTCCCACTGTGAGGGCCACTAAGGAGGAAGTGGCTGAGCCAGCTGCCTCTCGTCAAAGCACCCTTTATATATTTCCGTGTACCTTGGTTAGTTTAAAAACATCAAGCCAGATGATGCCAGACTGGATTTGCTCATAAAATCAACATGTTTGGTATATTTAGAGAGGTGTGGGCTCAGAGAGAAGAAAATGGAAAAAGCAGCCTCCTGCCACTCCCATGTTCCCATACTGGTGTCTTAGACCAGCAGGGAGGGGGTGGCAGGGACCCCCGATCAGGCCTTGTCTCTGCACCTGGTTCAGGTCAGCAGTTTAGCCAAACCCTCCTGGATCCAGGAGAATGTGTGGTCAAATTCCATGAGTCCCCAGGTGAGGAAGCCTGCTAGCGGGGACTAGAACTGAAGCCTCGGAGCCCTCTCACTGCCAGCCTCAGTGTTCCAACCTGGAAGGGGGAAGCCTGCTGGTACCCTGCATTCCAGGGTGTGATCTGGTAAATGCAGTTTTTGGCACAGAGACGGTCCTCAGTCCCTCCCAGTGGGGGACCCCTGTCCACCCCACCTCCCCAGTTCTCAGCCCCTCCCCTCTGATTGTGTCCCTCCAGTCCACTCCCTGTTAGTCTGAGGGTGGGCTGAGGAATCAGGCAGCTCTTTGCCCAGAGCAAGTCTAGAGAATACATGACAGTTATGTCCCTTCTCATTTTGTTGTTGTTGTTGTTATGTGCCATCGAGTCGCCCCGACTCATAGCAACCCCTCCTTGGGTTTCCAAGGCAGTATCACTACGGAAGTAGGATTGCCCAACCTTCCTTCCGAGGAGTGGCTGGTGGGTTTGAACCGCCAGCCTTCTGGTTAGCAGTCAAGTGCCTGAGCCACTATGCTACCAGAGCTCCTCTTCTGATTTTAAGTAGGTCATAAATGTCCTGCCTCAGGGCAGGATCATCTCCAAGGCACCTGAGGCTGTTGACGATAGCAGCCGCTGCTCCCTGAGGGCCTGCTCCTGCGCAGAGCTAGAATGTGCAGATCTCCACAGCATCCCACAGGGCCTCTCATCCTCCCAGCAGCTCTGGGGGAGCTACTTTGTCACCCCCATTTTACAGATGAGGGCTTGGAGGCTACAAAGAGTACCCCCCTTGGCAAAGCCCCACAGCCAACAAGCCAGGAGCAGAGCCCAGGGCTGCAGGAATGTGAAGCCTGAGTTCTTTCCCTGCCCTTTGTCACCACCCCCACAGTCCTGGCCAAACCTCCCAAGGTAGGAGCTAAGCAGGGGCGAGGGATCCCAGGGGAGCCCAGCCACCCCCAGGCTCACTGGCTTCCCCTCTGCAGGTGCCTGGCCGAAGGGGCAGGGGATGTGGCCTTTGTGAAGCACAGCACGGTGCTGGAGAACACTGACGGTGAGTGGAGGGAGCAGGCTCTCAGCAGCATCTCTCTCTGAGGGATGAGGCAGGTTCCCCAGAACATGGGGGGATGGAAGGGCCCTTGTTCAGTGATGCTCAGAATTCTCTGGGTGCCCTGGATAAGTCCCTCATTCACTCTGAACCTTGTTGTTGTTGTTATGTGCCATCAAGTTGTCTCCAACTCATCACGACCCCTCCTTGGGTTTCCTAAGCGATATCTCTACATCTCTGTGGAAGTAGATTGCCCAGTCTTCCTTCCGAGGAGTGGCTGGTGGGTTTGAACCTCCAACCTTCTGGTTAGCAGTCAAGTGCCTTAGGCACCATGCCCCTCTGAACCTTAGAGCTCTCAAAAAGGATGAGGCAGGGCTTGGCCATGGACTTCAAACTTGTGTACTTCAGTTATATGTGGGACAGAGGGGCCTGGGTGAGCAGCTCTGCTCCTTGCCCAGATATCAGATTCTGTTTCCATTCGATGATTAAAACTAACTGTGGTCTAGTTGATTCCGACTCATGGCGAGCGCATGTGTGACCGAGGAGAACTGGGCTCCACAGGGTTTTCAATGGCTGATTTTTCAGAAGTTGATCACCAAGCCTTTCTTCCCAGGTGCCTCTGGGTGGACTCAAACCACCAACCCTTTGGTTGACAGCTGAGCACTTAACAATTTTGTGCCACCTAGGGACTCCACTTGAAGACTGAGTTCTTTTTTAAAAAAATTAATTTGCAGACCTCTGCATAGCTCTCATCTATGATCTCTTCCTGACAATCATCTCCTTTTACTTGAAGAACCCAACCCTTATCCTGGAGGAATATTTTTAAAACCACTCCCTTTCTGAAAACAGTCTCCACCCCGAAGACCTTCTTTGCTGCTATGCATTGATCCGTTATAGCAGTATCACTTAATTTTTTATTTACTTTGAAAAATTAAGCTTTAGAGAGGTTGCAGGAATATTTCAAAGAATTCTCACATAATTGTACCCAGATTCCAACTTTTAGCATCTTGCCACATCTGATTTCTCATTCTTTCTGTATGTGTGCGCATTTTCGGACCCATCTGAAGGTATATTTGACTACATCAAACCAAACCAAAACCCAAACTCACTGCCGTCGAGTCGGAGCTGACTTATAGCAACTCTTCCTTGTATTTCCAAGGCAGTATGTCTATGGAAGTAGATTGCCCAGTCTTCCCTCCGAGGAGTGGCTGCTGGGTTTGAACCGCCAGCCTTCTGGGTAGCAGTCACGTGCAGCACGTACCTCCTAAGAACAAGGAGGTGTGTTTAACCTCAGGGCAGTTATCAAGTTCAGGACACGTGACATGGATACAGTAGTATCTAATCAGCACTCATATTCCAAATTCATTCCCAATTCCGACCTTTAAAACAATTTTTCCTTCAGGTCCAGGATCTAATCTACAATCATATGTAGCATTTAGTTCTTATGTCTCATTAGTCTCCTTAGAACATTTTTTTTTTTTTTTTGCTCCTTTATGTCTGTTTGTATGACATTGTCATTTTTTAAGAATACAGGTCAGTTATTTCATAGAATGCCCTTCAATTTGTATTGGTCTGACAATATTTTTTTAAATTTAGGCATAATTCATATATAGCAAAATTCACTCTTTTGAAGTACATTTTTATGAGCTTTGCCAAAACATACACATGTTGGTGATACGTAACCATATCACAATCAAGATATATAATAGACCCTCTACCCCAAAAGAGAAAATTCCCTCCTGTGCCTTTGTAGCTCTGGTAGTGTAGTGGTGAAGGCATTTGACTGCTAACCAAAAGCCTGGTTGAAACCCACCAGCTGCTTCCTGGAGGAAAGATAAGGCAGTCAGCTTCCATAAAGACATGAGTAGGAATCCACTCAATGACAGTGAGAGCCCCTTTGTAATCAGTCCCTCCTCTCGCCCCTCCCCTGTCAATTGCTGATCAGACTTTTGTCTCTAGTTTCATCTATTGCAGAATGTCTGATCATTGTCTTTTTTTTTTTATTAATCATTGTCTTCCCCCACCCCCATAGCCTTTTATATCAGAAAGCCCATCACGTAATCTGACCTTTATGAAGGCTAACAACATGAACAGATTTGAGAAAGAGGGAAAAGATGGCCTAAAACAGGAGTAAGCACACAGGACCTCCACTTAGAGCTTAGCTGTCCCCAGAGCAGGGCAACCTTACAAAACTGGCTTGACCTGGATTTAGTCCCCAAGGTGACTTAAGCAAAAGAGAATTTGGAAGATGAGGAAAGAACAGGGATGTATTGGATCGTATCAGTTTTTTAAAAGTTTTGATGGTAATCTAAACTCATTGTTGTCAAGTCAATTTGACTCATAGCAACCCCTCCTTGGGTTTCCGAGGCAGTATCACTATAGAAGTAGATGCCCAACCTTCCTTCCGAGGAGTGGTTGGTGGGTTTGAACTGCCAGGCTTCTGGTTAGCAGTCACATGCCTTAGGCACTACAGAGACAATTTTCTAAAAAGAATACCTTTATACAAAAAAGATTGACAAGAGCAAATGAGTGGAATAGACATAGATGTCTGAAGTGGTAAAGTAGTTATGAGTTTAATTATCCACAGCAGTGAGAAGGAGGAGGGCAGATTGAAATTCTGAAATGATACATTTGTCTCAAGGAGAGGCCAAATGATACACCAGACTTCTCAACAAACAAGGGTTTGCAGTAGCTTAAAAATAGAGAAAACTTGGGAGGGGAAGTAGATTTACACTGAGTAATTGTTAGGAACGATCAGCTATCATGCAGTCATTAAAAATGACCTTTATGGAGTTTTCCAAACTGTTACTCTTTTGGGTTTGTTTTTGTTTTTGTTTTTAAATAGTTGTGGAGTGAACAAAGTTTAGATGATCACAGAAATAATCTTTTCCTTTTTCTATTTCCTCGCAGAAGTTTGTCTCCTTGTTTTAAGATTTAAAAGTCATAAAACATTATTATGTAGGACCACCTGCAGTACCTTTTATTAAATGTTTAGATACAATCCTTGCTAGTCTTCCTAATATTCCTATTTGGTGTCAGCAGTTATACTTCAAATAAGTTTTGTCTTCTGTTAAGAAATGTATAAGCTTTATGAAAGGTGTCTAATATGTGGGAAAATACAGTCAATGAAAAGAAAAACAAGATGCAAAATTCCTATCAAGTATATCCATAAGCATGTTAAAAATGTATCCTGTATGCTTAGGAAAAAAGAGCCTTAAGGAAATATTATTGTTGTTGTTATTGCCGTCAAGTTGGACCGACTCATAGTGACCCCTCCTTGGGTTTCCGAGGCAGTATCACTACGGAAGTAGATTGTCCCATCTTCCTTCCGAGGAGTGGCTGGTGGGTTTGAACCGCCAACCTTCTGGTTAGTAGTCAAGTGCCTTAGGCACTACACTACCAGAGCTCCCAAAATATTAATAGTTAGGGTTGCAGAGAAGACTTTCGGAAGTTCCTTTCTAGCCCTCAGTTCTGGGTAGATTCTGTTGAAATTCACTGTCACCATGGTGCTCTCAGGCTGCCCTCTATCTTGTGCCCTCTGCCCTCCATGCAGAGCCAAATTTAGTGTCCCGCAGCAATGGTGAGAAAACTCATCTAAAATTCCTGTTGCACTTACCTTTCTCATCCTAAAGTTTCTATTACTCTGACCCCTTTTTGGTTTCTGAGGCGGTAAATCTTTACAGAAGTAGATTGCCCAATCTTCCTTCCACAGAGTGGCTGGTGGGTTTGAACCACCAACCTTCTGGTTAGCAGTCAAATGCCTTAGGCACTACGCCACCAGAGCTCCTTGTCTTTAATAGATAGTCCTGTTTATATATCTTGTATTATTGTCAGACATCTCAAATCCATTCTATTACTAGAAGCTGGTGAGATGAAGAAAAGTAACTATTAGGCACCATCTACTGAGACAGCAGGTCTTATAGGATAGAGCCACCAAGCTCCTCTTCATTCTCAGTCTGGGTCCTCACATCCTGGACAAGTGTCTTTCATTCTTGGTCTGTGGCCCATGACACTCTAACCTCTCCCAAAGCTCTCTCTCCCAGGGCCCTCCTTATGGCTCTCCCCCAAGCCTCTGTCAGGACAAGGGTTGGCTCACCACAGGCTTCCCATCTTCCCAGGGAAAACCCTGCCCTCCTGGGGCCAGGAGCTGCTGTCACGGGACTTTGAGCTGCTGTGCCTAGATGGCAGTAGGGCCGATGTCACTGAGTGGAGGCAGTGCCACCTGGCGCGGGTGCCTGCTCACGCCGTGGTGATCCGGGCTGACATGGACGGGGGCCTCATCTTCCGGCTGCTCAATGAAGGCCAGGTGAGCACAGGGCAGCCCACGCAGGCCCTGGTGGTGCTGGGCCATCTTGCCTCTCACTAGGATGAGAACTCAGGACCATCCCAGAGGGACAGGACCAGAGACCCTTTCCAGAACAGACCTCAGCAGGAGACCCAGACCTCTGTGGCCTGTGTTGGTCGGTGTGAAGGAGTAATCAGCTGGCCTAGCGACAGGGTGGAGAGCTGGCCAGGGAGAGCTGGAAGAGTGGGACCAAGAGACTTAGGTAGCCCTCCGAGAAAGTTCTTTGTTCTTACCACTCTTCAAACCAAAACCAGAACCAATTAGCAAATGAGCAAAATGACAACACCAATAGGTGTTTGTTACATTCAAGGTATTTTTGTTGCCATGGTTGTTAGTTGACATCAACCATTAGTTAAATGTGATAAATATTCTGCTGAAATTGGTGCTTACAACATGGAGATAAGTTTCTGACTGCTGGCATGACCACTGTTTTTGCTCCATCCCTACCCCCATATCACCCAGTGATGATAATGATCAAAACAGACATTTAAAAGCCAGGCACAGCAGCCCTGTCAGTAGGTAATAATATGTTCCTTTTTGAAATAGGTAAACTGAGGCTCTGGGATTAAGCAGCTGGCCCAAGTCGCAGAGTCAGGAGTCCAACCCAGGCAGTCTGGCTCCAGGCTCTAAACGTGCTTAACCTCTTCCCTCTATTTGAACTTTAGCCAAACCTCTCTTTGTGGCAGGCAGTGTGTTGGCCCCAGGCCTGCACTTGTCACATACCTATCAACCTGTCATGTGTGATTTATGGCTGCCTCTGATCTTTCCTCACTAGCTTGTAACAAAGAGCAGGCTGGTGCTGAAGATCATAAACAGCAACCCAAATGTGGACAGGGAAATTGTTCGGGGGTACTGGTTATGCCACAGTTGTCTGGAAAACCTCCGATATGCTTATGTTCAGGGGTTTTTTGTTGTTTTTTTTTTTTTTAAATCAAAACTACAGAATTAAAAAGTTGATCCTAGAGACTGACAGAACCTGTAGAATTCAGTTCTCCTACCCCATTTGGCCTTCCCTGGTCCGGAGGGCTGAGGGTAAGAGATAGGAACTGGGAGAAAGAGAGCCAAGGGGCTGGACAGGGCTTGCAAGGCAGCTGCTCCTCTTCTTGCTGGAGCCCAGGCCCAGTGCTGGCCCTAGACTGGGGTACAAACTCAGGCCCAGTACTAGGGAGCAGGGGGTCTCTGGGGGCAAGGAGCACAGCAAGGCACATCCAGAGAGGGGTGGAGCTTCAGTCTGGGCCAGACCAGCTCCTCGCTCTCACCTGGCCACTGAGATGCCCTCACACATCTGCACTGCCCCAGAAGGAATGATTCCTTCCTTAGGGCTTATCTCCTTTGGGTCCACCACAGCCCCATTGCTTGTCCCCATATCACCCCACACCCAGGCCCCAAGTCATGTTACACACAGCTGAGTGTGTGTGGCAAGGCAGAATGCACTGCAGGGGGACACAGGACAGGGGCAGCTCACAGAGGAGGTGTTGATAGTGGACACCTGGTCTGAGGTCACAGGAAGAGGGAGGTCTGGCTGAAGTGGTGGGGGGGGAGCACGGAGGTCCCTGCAGCACACATACATCCCAGACCCACATCTCCCCCTTGCACACAGCGTCTGTTCAGCCATGAGGGCAGCAGCTTCCAGATGTTCAGCTCTGAGGCCTATGGCCAGAAGAACCTGCTGTTCAAAGACATCACCTCAGAGCTGGTGCCTATCGCCACACAGACCTATGAAGCATGGCTAGGCCGCGAGTACCTGCATGCCATGAAAGGGCTCCTCTGTGACCCCAACCGTAAGTCTACCTGTCTGCTCCTCCCACCTCCAGCAGACCTGGCCATGGGTGTGACAGGGCTTTCTGGGTGGTGGCCAGAGGAGGATACTCACCCCAGGAGGCCTAGGATGTGCCACTTGGTCTCTATGGGACCACTTCTACTTCTCCATCTCTGGAGGTTGGAGGAAGAAGCTCTGGGGGTGCAGTGGTTAAAGCACTGGGCTACTCACCAGAAGGTTGGCGTATTGTACCCACCAGCTGCTTCGCAGGAGAAAGAAGAGGCAGTCTGCTTCTGTACAGAGTGACAGCCTTGGAAACCCTATGGGATAGTTCTGCTCTGTTCCACAGGGTTGCTATGAGTCAAAATTGACTTGACGATGCTGGTTTGGTTTTTTTGTTTGTTTGTTTTGGGGGTCGAAGAGGAAACATCTCTGGCTGGGGTGACCAGCTGTACCCTGGAAACTTCTCCTGCTCCAGCAGGATGGGACCCAGGAAGGACATCAGGGTCTGTACTGGAACCACACAGGGGGACAGTCCTGTCAGTTTTCCTCCATGATATCTCCCTCCTCCTCCTCTCCACCTCAAGACCACAATGTCCTGCTTCCATTCCCCACCCCTTACCTTCCATTCCCGCTCTCTGAATGCAGCCAGGGAAATGGTGAGGATTCAATACAGGACACCCATGATCTGCGGCAAGCCTCCTCACAGCCCTGTAAAAGAAATGCAGTTGCCTATCCCTTTTCTGTATGAGGAAATGGAATCAAGTGGTTAAATAACATAGCCCGGCCACACAGCTAACAAGGGAAAGAGCCAGAACGGGGTCTGACTCAAAACTCTTCCCACTGAGGTTCTGGCCCCACAGCTTCCGCATGGTCATCCACGCGCTCTGCCCCCTGGCACTGGGTGAACCTGGCAGTGACCACACGTGCACACCCATGCAGGGCTGCCACAGTACCTGCGCTGGTGCGTGCTGTCCACTCCCGAGATCCAGAAGTGTGGAGACATGGCTGTGGCCTTTAACCGGCAGAGGCTCAAGCCAGAGATCCAGTGCGTGTCGGCCAATTCCCCCCAGCACTGCATGGAACTTATCCAGGTAGGGGCCATGCCAGGGAGGGGCAGAGTGGGCCTGATGGGCAGGTGGCATAGCCCCTGGGATGGTCTTACCTCCTCTTCCTTGGGGCAGCCTGGGGAGGAGAAGGTCTCCTGTGACTGCCTCCAGACAAAGGGGGCAGGGCACATGGAGGCCATTTCCCCTGGGAGAGCTCAAGGACTTCTCATTTATCTGACCCAGCTCAGCCCTGACCCATCAACCCATCCTGTGTCAGTTTCCCCATTTGCACACTGGGGAGGGGGTTAGCTTAGATCGTTGTTTTTTAAACTTTTTTTGGCAGTAACCCTCAGTAAGAAATACATTTTATGTTATAATCTAGTACACAAAAACTTTCAGATATAAATATGTGAGAAATATATATTCTTCATATAAACCAAAAAAACTCTGGTGGTGTAGTGCCTAAGGCACTTGACTGCTAACCAGAAGATTGGCAGTTCAAACCCACCAGCCACTCTTCGGAAGGAAGGTTGGGTAATCTACTTCCATTGAGATACCACCTCGGAAACCCAAGGAGGGGTCTCTTTGAGTTGGAGACAACTCGACGGCACGTAACAGCAACAACAGCACTGACATCAAGTCTATTCCGACTCATGGTGACCCCCATTGGGTTTCCTAGGCAGTAAATCTTTACAGAAATAGACTGCCCCATCTTCCTTCCGTGAAGCAGCTGGTGGGTTTGAACCACTGAACTTTTGGTTGGCAGTAAAATGCCTTAGGCATCACACCACCAGACCTCCTATTCTTTGTATGTATAGATGAAAAGCATTTTGCAAAACAATGCTTATCTTTACTAAGTACAATGTACACTATTTTCTGATGTATGCTTAATTTTCCCTTTTTTGCAATGCTTTTCATGACCTGTTAAATTGATTTGGCCTCAATGCTAGGCCCTCTAGGACTCTTGGGAGCACAGTGGTTAAGTGCTCACCTACCAACCAAAAGGTCAGTGGTTCAATCTACCAGCCATTCTGCAGGAGAAAAATGTGGCAGTCTGCTTCCATAAGGATCACAGCCTTAGAAACCCTTTGGTGTGGTTCTAATTGGTCCTATAGGTTCACTAGGAGTCAAAATCAACTCAACAGCAGTGGTTTGGTTTGGGCACTAGGTCCTCCACCTACAGCTAAAAATACCAGCCTAGCTCAGTCCTGCTTTGGTTCTCTGAGTGGAGTCCAAGGCCAGTACACAGAAGATTCCCCCAAAAGCCCTGCAGTAAGGGATGAGGGTCCTACCATGGTCATAGGTGTCCAGCATCAGGCCAGAGCACAGGTCTATCAGCCCCTGGGTTCCTGGACTCTTCCCTTCCGGTTTTCTGAGAGTAAGGAGGTAGGGCTTGATGGTCAGGACCATCATCAGAGCAGTCCTCATGTCAGGACATCAGGGGGTACTCACCCTGCCCTGGCCACAGAACCTGAGAAGAGTGGGACTGGACAGGAATAAAGGGGTAACACTTCCTGGGTGCTAAACCACGGATGTGGATTATTTCATTTAATCCTTACAACAACTCTATGGGGTCAGTACAATTACTAACCTCTTTTCACAGTAAGTTTCCAGATGTGGAGATTGGGGCCAAGAGAGGCTGAGGAAGTGACTTACCTGAGGTCAGCTGGGGAGAGCAGGGCCCCACCGTTGGCCATTGGGTTTGACACACTCCTGTGGCTTGGTTACACCTTTTCAGGCTCTGAGGGGGCCACCTGTCAAGAGACTTTGGTAGGGCATGGGTGAACAGAAGGGGCCCCAGGAGGGCCCAAGGGTGGGTGTCCTGGCCCTGGACCCATCCTGCTGCCTCAGGCAGGGCTTTATCCCTCAGCCCGGGAGCCTCCTCCAACAGGCCCTGGGATCTACCATCTTTCAAGACCTGGCTCAGTCATCTATTCTACATGCATTTGACAAATACATATTGCACTCCCACTGTGTGCCAGCCCTGGGCTGGTGCCCTGTCCTCACAAGGCTAGAGACTCAGTGGGGAGACCCCATACCAAGCATGAGGGCAGGGATCATGCAATGTTTTGCTCAGACAGGGCTTGGCACAAAGAGACCTCAGTAAACATTTGCTGAAAGAATGAAACAGAAGCCCAGGAGTGTGGGTGTTAGTTGCTTTCAGCCCTCCCCATCCAAGAAACCATCTGCCTGGGCGGCAAGGAGAGGAGGGGTAGATGGGCAGGATGGGGTGGGACATTCTCCACCCAGGTTCCCCAGGGGAGCCTGAGGCCCCCAACCCCAAGAGACCAGGCCCTGGCACATAGTTAGATCCCAACATCCGGGACCGACCTGGGGTCCACCTCAGCTGAGACCACTCTCTGTTCCCCTTCAGGCTGAGAAAATCGATGCTGTGACCCTGAGGGGAGAAGACATTTACAAAGCCGGGAAGATGTATGGCCTGGTTCCAGCTGCTGGGGAGCGGTATGCTGGTGAGTGTAGGTGCCAGCCACCAGCCTCAGCTGGGAGTTGTTGATATTTATTTATATATAATTGTCACCCCCTCCCCACCCTGAGCCATTTTCTAAAGTCCCATAAGTCCACCCATCTGCTTCTCCCAGCTCCAGCTAGCCTTAGGTCAGTAGTTGGTCCAGGAGGCCATGGCTGTGAAGTCTCCCCAAGGGCCTCGGACAGAAGGTGGTGTGGAAGAGCAGGGAGGGGCTGAAGAAAGGCCCCCATTCTCAGGGGTTGGGACTGCGGACAGCTACAGAGCACAAGAGGGACCCACCTTGTGCTCAGTTTCCCTCTCCCTCGGCTGGCTGCTATCTGTCTGTCACCAGGGAAGTCTCTCCTGCCCCAGGCCTCAGTTTCCCCATCTGTTGTTCATCGAGAAAGTCTGGTACTATCAGTAAACCTTTTGTAAAAGATCAGAGCAAATAGTTTAGGTTTTGCAGGCAACTCATTTTTTGCAACCCTTTAAAAACATAAAACCACTCTTATCTTTCGGGCCTGGGCCTTATAAAACAGGCTATAGAGGAGAGGGTTTCCTGGCCTCTTCCAGCCCTGACTGTGGAGCTGCCCTGGGAGTCCTCATCCTTGTCACACTTTGAAGTAGCCTGAGCTAGATAGAGCTTTGACTTCTGCCCTGTTCAGTAGTGACCTGGGAGGCCCTAGTCCCTTCCACTTGGATGTGAAAAATGTCTGGGCTTAGGGAAAAGCAGGCCTCAGTTAAGCCTCTACTTTTCTCCCAGACGGTGAGAAAAATACCACTTGGGTGTCAGTATTGACAATGCCCTTTCTCCATCTTAAAGACCCAGTGGGTCCCCTGTCTTTCTAGCACAGGGGTGCACTGGGGCAAGGGTGGTATCCAAAATCATTGCAGAACCTCCAGAATCCAGCTGTTCCTGAGGGGAAAGGAAAGAAATGCCTTTAGCATGAGGACTGTTTGGGGGAGGGGCGAGAAGAGACAAGTCTCTGAAAAATAAAGCAGCCACCAGAGCTGCTTCTGGGCTTCTCCAGGAATCTGAGCTGCTGGATTTGCTCACTGATAACCTTAGTCTGCACAGCCAAGACCTGGAGACACGATCACAGCTTCCAGGGGTGGGAGACAGGAGGGAGTGGGTTTGAGGGGAGGGCCTGAGGAGGATCCACCGTATGTGTTCCACCCCATGAGGATTGCCTGGCTCTTGCCCGGCTCTTGCCCCTCACTGAGCCCAGGAAAGCCAGGTGTGGGGTCTTTCATGTGATGTCGCCTCTCCCCCAGCGGAGGACCGAAGTAACTCGTATTTTGTGGTGGCCCTGGTGAAGCGGAACAGCTCCTACGCCTTCACCATGGATGAGCTCCGGGGCAAGCGCTCCTGCCACCCTGCCTTGGGCAGCCCTGCAGGCTGGGACGTCCCTGTAGGTGCCCTCATCCAGAAGGGCTTCATCCGGCCCAAGGACTGCGATGTCCTCACAGGTACCGCCCCCACTGGCCAGAGATATCAGGCTCCTCTTGGGGATTGGCTGGGGATGGTGATCAGCTTCCAGCGGGGACTCCACACAAAGACAGCATCTGAGACGTGATTTCCTGTTCCTCTTTGACACACACAATCCTTGCTCTTGGAAAGGTTGGGAAATATGCTTGGCCATTCTTAAAACACTCCAGGTGTCTGTCTAGTGATTCTTTGGAGATCCCTACCTGATATGATACCTACCTCCTACTCACCCAGAACCAGCTCTACCGGTCCTTATCACTGAGTGTGGAACTAGCCCCAGTGGGGGAGTGGGGTGTGTGCAAGGGTTCTGGTCCTGGCTATGTTACTGTACAGCCACGAGACTGTCCCCTAAGCATCTGGGGGATCTTGTTGGACAGTGACCAGACATCCACATAAGTACACAAGTGTCTACATAAGTGCTGAATCAAAGAGATGTTCACCAAGCACTTGCCATATGCCTGGTGCTATATGAGGCCCTTCTCATGGATTAAATCTTGTAACATTTGTGGTAAAAGGGAGGCAGAAGGAGGGTGCCGAGTTCCTTGGGCTGCCTGAACACATACCTCTGTCCTGGCTGGCACCTCAAGAGATAAACATTGTTTTTCTAACTACCCACTGAAGCACACAGAGGTATTGATTGGGGTTGGCTGCTCCCACTCCCAGAAAGCTCTGACTGGAACAGAATAGCTTATGAGGTGGTAAGCTCTCTGTCCCTGAGGGAGTCCAAGCAAAGGCTGGGTGACTACGTATCAGAGGTGCTGATGGGGTTCCTATATTCTAACAATCTCTCGTTCCCCTCCACCCCTGAAATTCGGACAAAAGGAGACTGCAGCTCTGAGCTGGGTGTGAAGTGGAGCAGATGGGTGGCCTTGGCTGTAGGGCCAGACAAGGCGGGCAGATTTGTGGGGGAGCGGCCCACCTCGTCTCTTCTCTGGCTTGCCCTGTCTACCACTGGCCCCTCCTCACAGCCCCTTCCCCTCCCACCCAGCGGTTAGTGAGTTCTTCAGTGCCAGCTGCGTGCCCGTGAACAACTATGAGAACTACCCATCCTCGCTGTGTGAGCTCTGTGTAGGTGACGAGCAGGGTCGCAACAAGTGTGTGGGCAACAGTCAGGAGAGGTACTACAGCTACAGCGGTGCCTTCAGGTACTCAGCCCCAAGCCTGCTGGTGCATCTGGGTTCAGGGCTGATGGCAAGATCCTCCTGCTCAATATGTGCCTTGTCTCCTTGTCTGCAGGTGCCTCGTGGAGAATGCTGGGGACGTCGCCTTCGTCAAGCACACAACTGTCTTTGACAACACAAATGGTGTGTGTGGGGACTTAGGCCAGAATAGGGCCAGATGTCCAACGGGGCTGTGTTCCAACACCTAGTACAATCCAGGCACTGGGTGTTGCTGGGCTTGGGGGCCTGAGTGGTCACTTGGACCATTGTGGTAAGAATAGACCAGGTGTGCAGAATACATGACAGCCTTTAAAACAACAACAACAACCTCACTGCCATGAAGTCAAGTCGATTATACTCATAATGACCCCTCCTTGGGTTTCCAAGATGGGTCTCTACAGAAGTAGATTGCCCGATCTTCCTTATGAGGAGTGGCTGGTGGGTTTGAATAGCCAGCCTTCTGGTTAGCAGTCAGATGCCTTAGGCACTACACTACCAGAGCTCCCATGATAGCCTTTATTGATCTGGGACTCAAGACCCCATCCTACCAAAACTCAATCTCAGTCAATTTGGAGAGAAATTACATTTATGTAATGTCAAGGTATATGAGTGGGGGAGGGGTGGCAGGGTCATCCATTCACTGCTCTCTGCATGCAAAGGCAGGGCCTGCCCCAAGATACATCACATAGGCTTTTAGTCAGAGGCTACCTTCCTGGGCTCCACCTGTGAGAAAGAGCCCAGGTATTCAGTTAGTATCCACCCTTCTCCCACTTCCAGAAGGAAAGAACCTCATATTCTCCCTCAGTCAGGGAATCTTCATCCTTTTTGAAGAAGGAGAGTCCCTGGGTAATGCAAACCATGCTCAGCTAACCAAAAGGTTGGTGGTTTGAGTCTACCCAGAGGAGCCTTGGCAGAAAGACCTGGTGATCTAGTTCTGAAAAATCAGCCACTGAAAACCCTTACAGAGCATTTCTACTCTGACACACATGAGGTCATCTTGAGTCTGAATTGACTCCTTGGCAACTGGTTTGGTTTTGAAGACAAGAGGCTGTTTCCCTTCAACATCTATTGTTTATATTTTCTGCATGCCTTGCCCACACCCCAGCCTTTGAAATATCAAATGCTGGGAGCTCTGGTGGCATAGTAGTGCCTAAGGCATTTGACTGGTTCAAACCCACCAGCAACTCCTTGGAAGGAAGATTGGGTAATCCACTTCCATAGAGATACTGCCTCCGACACCCAAGGAGGGGTCACTATGAGTTGAATCTCCTTGATGGCAATGAATGAGAGGCTGTTTTCTTCGTTCTGTCCTAGCACATCTCTTGTGGAAATTCAGCGCAGAAAGGCCTATCTTTGGGAATTGGCTAAGGGGAAGCATGCCATACAGGAGAAAAAACATAGATCCGTATCTTAAAACTCTGACCCTATCATGCCTGTGGAGGATACCATTTGGGTAACAGAGCTGGGAAGGTCTCCAGAGGCCTCCATGTTGCCCTAGCCCTGCCCCCCCCCACACACACACACACACACACAACCTTCCACCAAGCAGGACACTTGGGAAGCTCCCTTATGACGAGGGAGTTCTGCCTGGTCCCAGACCTATCTACCCCATGGTCGTGCGATGGACTCAAGTAAAGAGTGGGGCTAGGGAGGGTCTTAGGAGGCTCACCCATAGTGAGGCCTCTCAGCTTCATGTCCTACCTCACAGTGTGGCTCATTTTTCTTTTCTCTTTATCTCTACTCTTGGGCCCATGTCAAGTTCCTTCTGGAAGTGGGAGAAGGGTAGATACTAACTGACTACCTGCAAACACAAAAATTACGTATCTCCCAAGGGCTGTATTTCTCAGGATGCCCTGGGCCTGCTTCAGAATCACTGGGATGCTTGGTTAAAAATGTAGATTCCTGGGCCTGACCCTAGACCTACTGAATGAAATGGTTTGCACCTGGGGCCCTTAAAATTGCATTTTGGAGATTCACAGGTGATGTTATGCCACCTCTAGTTTAAGAATGTCAGTCTGTAGGGGAGACTGACATTCAGGAACCCACTTCACCCCAGGCCCAACACAGGTAGCACACAGATGGGGTTCTTTGCCTGGTAGTGGTCATAAACCTCAGCTTCCTCACCTGTAAAGTGAGGGTCAAAATACCCACCTTGTATTACTGTCATGAGGATCAAAAGAAAGTTTTTTAAATGCCTGTCACATAGCAAGGAGCTCTGGTGGTGCAGCAGTTAAAGCATTTGCCTGCTAACCAAAAGAGTGGCAGTTCAAACTCACTAGTTAGTCAGTGGGAGAAAGATGAGACAATCTGCTTCTGTAAAAATTTACAACCTTAGAAACTCCATGGGGCAGTTTTACTCTCTCCTATGAGTTCACTATGAGTCAGAATCGACTCAATGGCATTGGCTTTGTCACACAGCAAGTACTCAGTAACAGTTGTTACTGTTATTAGGTGCCATTCAGTTCCAACTCATAGCGACTCTACGTGCAACAGAAGGAAACACTGCCTGGTCCTGATCCGTCCTCACAGTCATTGCTATGTTTGAGCATATTGTTGCAGTCACCGTGTTAATCTATCTCATTGAGGGTCTTCCTCTTTTTCTTTCTTCCTCTACTTTACCAAGCATGATATTCATCTCCAGGGACAGGTCCCTCTGGTAACTTATCTAAAGTAAGTGAAATGAAATCTTACTATCCTTACTTCTAAGGAGCAAGCATTCTAGCTATACTTCTTCCAAAACAGATTTGTTCATTCTTCTGGCAGTCCACTATATTCTGATATTCTTTGCCAATACCATAAGTCAAAAGCATCAATTCTTTGGTCTTCCTTATTCATTGTCCAGCTTTTGAGTGCATATGAGGTGATTGAAAACACGTTGGCATGGTGCAGGCACATCTTAGTCCTCAGTGGACTAAGGTGGGATAGCCATAGCTACTCCTAATATTATTAGCGCAACTGGATTCTCTTGCCCTGGTGATAGCACAGTTGAAGAACTCTCCCTCAAGGGAAGGATTTTGAGGTCCAGGAGGATAGCAGCCTCTTTCTGTCTGTCTCTACCCTCAGGCCACAATCCTGAGCCCTGGGCTGCAGAACTCAAGTCTGAGGACTATGAGCTGCTGTGCCCCAATGGGGCTCGGGCCGAGGTGTCCCAGTTTGCAGACTGCAACCTGGCACAGATGCCGTCCCACGCCGTCATGGTTCGGCCTGACACCAACATCTTCACTGTGTATGGACTGCTGGATAAGGCCCAGGTGAGTCGGGGCTGGGACTATCTCAGTGGGGGTGGACAGCAGGAGGGAACCAAGCCCCCTCAGAGGCCTCAGTTGGCCTGGACCAGCCCTTGGGAGGAACTGAAGGAGCCTGGGGAAAGTTCTGTGAGTTTCATTTACCCAAGGACATTCCTCCAACACTATCCTTTCTGTCTCGTGTGTCAGTAATTTTTCCTTCTCAACTAGATTTCCATCAACATGCAAATATGTTATTGCCCCCATTTTTAAAACACAAACACACCTTTTCTTGGTCTCCATCCTCCTGCAGCTACTACCCTGCTCCCCTTTACAGAGAAACTCCAAAGTTATCTCTGCTCTGGAGTCGCCAGTTCCTCTGCTTCTATTCTCTTAAGGATGGAGACTACTGCAGACAGACCCCGCTAACACTGAGGCAACCCTTGTCAGGGTCACAGTGACTCCATGTTGCCAATCTTCATGGTTCTGGACCTCTCAGCAGCACAGCACACAGCTGACCCCACTCCTCCCATAAACACTTCTCCCCTCTTTGGCTCCCAGGTCCTCACAGAAGCCCAGCTCTCCTCCTGTCTCTCCTTGGCAGCTCTTCCTTGGTCTCCTTTTCAGCTGCTTTCTCCTCTCCATGAGCTATAAGTTCTAGAGTACCTTTGACTCAGTCCTAAGCCTTCTTCTCTGTTTACACACATGCCCTTCTTGCTCTCACTCAGACCTGCGTCATTAAATACCATCTATATGCAGATAGCTCCTAAATTTACATCATCAGTCCACATTCTTTCAACCCCAAACTTGTACATCCAACAGCTGCCTACTTGGCACTTCCATTTGTAATATAACAGGCATCTCCAGTTGAACAAGCCCAAAATTGAACTCCTTTTCCTCTCAGTCTTCCTAGTTTCATTTTGCAGCAATTCCAGCCTTCTCTGTATCTCAGGAGTCATCTCTGACTCCTTATTCTCACACTCGCAGTCCAGTCCCACGGCCAATTCTGTCGGCTGCACTTTCAAAACACATCTAGAATTTGATCTAGCTTATCACCTCCTCCAACCAGGGTTAGAGTTAGAACCCAGGCTGCATGGTGATGGAGCTCAAGTTCCTAACCTGTCCCTACCACCCTCACGCCTACTCCCTACTGACTTCAGAACCTCCCTGCCCCACCCACCAGCACCACAGATCTGAGCCAGCTGGCTTTCCATGCTTATTCCTAAGCAATACAATTATTTATGCTATTTTCATCTTTTCTACAGTCCCTCTATCCCAGAGTTCTTTACATTGATTGGGTCCCCAAGGGTTGAGGGAATTCCTCAACTCTGAAGTAACGTGGGGAATGCTGTGTGAAGGTACAGTTTTCTGGAAAGAAGCTGATATATCTCATCAGATCTTCAAGAGGACCCTTAAAAAAAAAAATTGCTGTGGCGTTGACTCCATTCACGGCAACCCTATGTGTACAGAGTAGAACTGATCCATAGAGTTTTCGTGGCTATAATCTTTTGGAAGCACATCTACAGACTTTCTTCTAAGGTGTCTCTGGGTGGGTTTATACTACCAACCTTTCAGTTAGTAGGCAAGCACTGGACAATTTGCCCTCCAGGGGACTCCAGAGGACCCATTGTTGTTGTTACTTGGTTCTGACTCACAGTGACTCCATGTACCACAGAATGAAACACTGCTTGGTCCTGGCCATCCTCATACTTGTTGCTATATTTGAACCCATTGTTGCAGCCACTGTGTCAACCCATCTTGTTGAGGGTCTTCCTTTTATTTTCATTGACTCTCTACTTTACAAAGCATGATGTCATTCTCAAGGGACTGGTCCCTCCTGATAACAGAGCCAAAGTATAAGAGATGAAGTGTGCCTATTCTTGCTTCTAAGGAGCATTGTGGCTGTACTTCTTCCAAGACAAATTTATTCATTCTTCAGGCAGTCTATGATATATTCAACATTCGTCATCAACACCGTAATTCAAATGCATCAATTCTTCTTCAGTCTTCCTTATTCATTGTCCAGTTTTCACATTTATGTGAAAATATCATGGCTTGGTTCAGGCACACCTTAGTCTTCAAAGTGACATCTTTGCTCTTAAACACTTTAAAGGTGTCCCTTGCAGCAGATTTGGCCAGTGTGAGATGACATCTGATTTCTTGACTGCTGCTTCCAAGGGTGTCATTGTGGATCCAAGTACAATGACATCCTTGACAGCCTCAATCTTTTCTCCATTTATCATGATGCTGTTTATTCAAAATCAGGTTTGAGGATTTTTGTTTTCTTTATGTTGAGGTGTAATGCATACTGAAAGCTGTAGTCTTTGATCTTCATCAATAAGTGCTTCAAGTCCTCTTTGCTGTCAGCAAGCAAGATCACGTCATCTACATATCATAAGTTGTTAATGAGACTTTCTCCAATCCTGATGTCATGTTCTTCTTCATATAGTCCAGCCTCTTGGATTATTTGCCCAGCATACAGATTGAATAA